AGGCCACGCTGAACGGAGTTTTTTTGACGGATTCAAAGAAAGGTTCTCATGAATTCAGAGGCGTCGTTGGTTATGGAAGTGACCCTCTTATTTATGTCGAGGTTTCTGCATCCTGTCCTTTTCGCTAAGCTTGATTTGTCGAATCAACCGTTTGTTCCTGAAGCACCGAGTTCTGCGACACACCCCATCCCCCTATCAACGATTGGCACTCTCTTGGAGGGTGTTAGACATCTAGGCACTTTGTAAAATTCACATCAAACGCAGCCACACTGGGGATATCAGTCAACAGTCGACACCTGAAAAGCGAGAAACTCAGCTCGCAAGCGCACATGCAGACCAACTGCACCGACGATGTAGCACACGTACTACATCACCCACATTATTGGCCTAGATTAGCACATGGATTTGAACCGGTATTAATATACAATATACAATACAATATATATACAAGCACTACGCTGATGATCACTACCAATTCGCCAATTCAACGCGCTCTTCTCTGATATGTTGGCTCCACGTAACCACGCTGTTGGCTTGCTAAGCAGACTTGGCTGAGGCACTCGCGACCGCATGTGCTGTTGCACGATACGCTCCACGTCGATGGACTACCGTCCGTCATCGTTTGTCGTTTCCGTGCACGGCCTTTCTTTCCCGTATGCAGCAGTGATTTCTCATGTCCCTTGGCAACCGCCCTCTTGACTAGCTTACACCATCTGCATCGATCCACTTCTATCGCTTCCCAACACATGCATTAATTTATGATTAACTCACATTGATCATGTCCTGGTAACGTAACTTCGGTTTCCCCACATGCCGCTTACCTGCTCGCAGTTAGCCATAAAGCAGCTATTTGGCGTCCGGATCGAATCCATGCGGCGAACATTCCCGAGTCATCTCAGGTGTCTCAGCAGAAGTATGCAGTCCACTGCATACATGCCACTGCGGCGCAGCACTTCCGTGTTTGCAACTCTCGCATGAATAGATGCGCAGAATCTGTCGCAGACACTATTGACGGAACCGTTACTCATATCTCACATCCCCCTGGTACGTTGTCCACGTTTCGCTATTGTATAGAGGAATGGAGAGCACGATTGTTTTGGATACCAGCCGCTGGTGCTTCCTCCGCACATAATATTCCCCTTTGTCAAGCTCACAGCGGCCTTCTATACGCGGATGCGCAGCTCGCTTTTCCTCTGCAGGTCGGTTGACATTGCGCTTTCAGTGTGGCAAATGTGTCATCAGCAACATAGATTTGGGGGCATTCCCATGGACTGAATTCCTAGCGAAGGCTGGATAGGACAAACAGTCTTACTTGTGGTGATGGTGAACTCAAATTTGGCTGGTGTCAAATATGAGCCAAACTCATTTGCTGCAACTGATCCATGCTGTGTGCAAACAAACATTGGTCGGCAAACATCAACCTACGGATGGTTATCTCACACACTAGAGTTCTCGCCCCGAAACGGCGCATGTTCAGCAACCCACTATCAATACGGTGCCTCACACCGACACCGTACTCGCAAGCAGAATCAGAAGCACAGGATATCGTTGAGTCAATGTAACTATTAAACAGGGCATGAGCTAAGACACACCCTTGCTCCACACCAGAGACAACCTGAAACTTATCCGAGGTCTGTCCACACAGCTGCACACCCGCCTGCATACCACTGTGCAGACATTCAATTTAAGCTGCCCAACACCAGCCACTGTGTCTTGTGGTTTACCGTGTCAAATGCCTTTGTGAAGTCAACAAACAGCGAGTACAGCTACTTGTGTCACTCTCGGCATTTCTCCTGTAGGTGACGAGTCTCAAACATCGTATCTATGGTGCCGCGACCCGAACGGAACCCGCATTGCTCTTCCGTCATGTGCGGTCCAATTGCTTGAGTGACAAGGCGGTTGAGCAGAATTCGTGCGATCACTTTACCCACACAGCTCAGCAACTTGATGCCACAATAATTCGTGGCATGTTGCTTGGTCCCTTTACTCTTGTACAGTGATAGCATATAGGCATCCTTCAAGTTAACCGGCACCTCTTCTTCAGACCACTTGCGTTTCACAAAGCGGTGCAGTGCATGCACCAAAGCCAGTCCATCGTCTTTCAATACTTCAGGCGGTATTTTTCGTCGGAACCGGCGCACTTGCCATTTCGCAGCTGAGTAAGTGCTCTCTGCGCTACATCCAGTGTCGGTGTGTCGATAAAACCTCTTTATTTCTTACTATTGCAGCCCGTGCAAAGTAGGCCATTCTATCTCTGAACAGTTGTTCAGAAGACAGTCGAAAGTCTTTCGCCAGATCCGCATTATGTCTGCAGTCTGTTTCCAGGCAGCGCCTGAAGTAGCATCCAGCGGCTGCAACGCGGGTCAATACACCACTCTCAAGAATTCCTTATGTTGGCGTTCAGTGTAGCATTTCCATCTGCTTCGTCTTCTCCATACATCAAGCATTCTTGATGCGACGGAGCTCTCGAGTCAGTCGCCTTCAGTTTTCAAAAAGGACTCTTCTCTTCATCAACGGCGTCCTCTACATGCTGAGCGAACGCTTCATTTCCCCCGACCCCAATGCGCCAATGGTCGCATTTGTGTCATCAAACCACTCAGGCCGTTTACAGTTTGCGCGCCCGGTGGTCTCTTCGGCAGCAGCGGATGTGCTGCCACAGGTCGTTATCGTCACTTCGGGTAGCCATCACATTCTCCGATTCCTCTTCTCAATGGTATCTAGAGAACGAATATTAATCTTTGCGCCACTGATTCATGACAGGGGAACAATACGTAGATTTACGAAAGTATATGCACAATTTGGTCCGCACCAACTTGTGATCAGTTCCACACTCCGCTCCACGCATTACACGTGTCATGCGCACTTCACGCATGTCACGCTGGCGTACGGTGACATTGTTGAGCAGGCGGGCTTGACCACTCCGTGGTTGCTTCCAAGTAGCTATATCATTTGCACCCAGGGCATACTGTGTGTTTGTGATCGTTAGGCCGTGAGTGGCGCACAACGAGAGCAGCCGGTCAGCGTTCCTATTGGGTGCACCAATGCAATACGGATCTGTTACGTCTGTCTACACTGCGGCATCACGTGCAACGCCTACGTTGAAATTACGCGGTAGGGATAGGCGGTCGCTTCTAGGCACAGCCCGTATAACGGAGAATAACTGAGTGTAAACATGATCCCTCTTGGGACCATATGTGCTGATAAAATGGGCAAATTTACCTCTTCCAATTGACAAGCAGAGTCATCCGTCGTGGGCTGATGCCAATCGGCTCTCTCACCAGCTGCCCATTTAGACGCTCTGATAGTGCAAATCCGACCCATATTCATGTAAGGCTATGTTGGCGTTTCCCACCCAGTAGAACGTGTACCTTGCACCAGCCACATGCAGCTTGCTTTGATCGGCGAACCGATTCTCACTGAGTGCGGCAATGTCATTGCCGTAACGCGCCAGTCCCATCATGATCAGTGCAGTGAATCTCTCGGGGCACTCACTCGTGTTCTAGTCGAGCAGTGCGCGCACCTTCCAGCACTCGAAGCTGTGCGCTGTGTGCGGATGCATAAGATTGCGGTGGCCGGCAGTCTCACGCGCGGTCACCTGAATTGGAGGAAGTAGTTTGCTAGCTGCAATGGGGACAGGGACAGTATGTGCAAGAGAAGAAAGAGGAGCGAGGCGTCAGCGGTAGTATGCTTTCACTTGTCCACTCCGCTGTATGCAGCAGATAAGGCGACTCTTTTCCTAAGGCCACTGTGCGACGGCCTGTGCAGCTTGTGATTATTGTTTTTGGAGTGTTTCATGATTGAGGTTGAGCTGGAATACTGCCAAGGTGTCCACCCCTGACAGGAGCACGATTAGGATCCTCAACCAAAGCCTTCCATAAAATGTGCACTCGAAAGGCAGCGGGCCGTGTGCCATGAATCAGTGAACCGACTCACACGGAATTGTGTGTCCCGGCTCCTAGCTAGAAGAAGGGTTCCACCCAACCCACTCAGCGGTCGCCACGAGGGTTCGTCTAGAACATGGGTACACGGCACAACATTGGCAACAGCGGGTTGACGATCTGTCAGGTAATATCCACCACGAGCCTCAGGGAGCCGTGAACAACATAGATTCAATGTTATCGGCAAACTTGTAAAGTTTATGTACGTTTACCGATCCTTCGTGTCCGTTTTCTATGATAATGCCTATGCAAGCATGTTTTTGCAGTGTCGGGAATATATTATTTAATTTAATACGTTGCCGAGCGGTGTCATCGTTATGCATGGTGGATGGCTCGAAACTATCCCGTTTTGGGAATTAGTTCGACTGCAGTGTTCCAGGACGCAGTGGGCTTTTAGCCGGCAAGTGTTTTCCATTTGCAAATCACATGTGACTCACCACTATACTAAGTCGTTGCCCATTGCTTCATCTCGATGGGTCACTGCATTTCAATTATTGTAAGTAGAATTTGGCCCCTGTTTTATAGCCGACCGAATAAAAGGCGTAGAAACGGAGAACTCAGTCGCTAACTCCCAATGGTCGCCATTACTTCAATTTAACCCCTTTGCCTTACGTACAAGCTGTTAAACCAAAAATTCAGGTGCGTTCCCCCAACTCAACTGTGTACTTCATCTTTGGCACTTGGTCCAACTGATACAACCATGGATTCTGCAACTGTCAATACCTCGCACTCCTCTCATTCTTCCGCTATTGATTATTTTACTACTCATGTACTTCTGATGCAAACTTTCTTGCATAATTAATTCTCGCCCTTCTTAATCCACTTCCAATGGGTTCGGTAGCAGTTCCCTTCGACACCTATCTTCATTCTATCCGGCAGCGTTCACTTCCAGAACTTCCTTGCAGATTATTGGGCAGTTAGTCGGCCTAACGCTTGCTCTGGAGTCGCATGCTATCGACACTAGCTATCTTTCCTAGTCTTGATTACAGAACTCCAGCACCAAGCTTAACTTGTCCTCTGCTGTTGATCCCGCAACAAAATATTTCCTTCTTCTCCTCTCAGGTGACACAGAAGCAGCTGCATCCTATTTACCTGGTGTCGACACCGTTTTGAGTTGTAAATCTGAGGCCGACCAACTGGATTAGTTCCCCTTTGACAACCGACTATGTGCAATCCAACTTACTGGCTTTTGCAAAGTCAACAGACACCGAAGAGAGAGGCGCAACGCGGTTGTTTTCTACGCCTACGATCCAACCGTCTGCAGTGATGCATCGGTTAAAGACAAGTTCTATCTCAGATCCCACGAGGTTTAAGATTTATCTGGATTATTAGATGTCGTTGTCCTTGCTGAGGACTGCAATGCGCTTGTTGGTCACCTGCTGTCATATGAACACCATCCTGGTGGCCGCTACACGGGGTTACACTTCTCAGGCTTAGTGGAGCTCACCGCCTCATTCAAGAACAACTTCAGAGATACGGGGAGATGTTCTACCACCTGGTGTGGTCACATGTCGATCCCATCGAAATCGACCTCAAGCGACAGGGATAGCATACATGATTGCATATCGATTTCGTACATCTACCTCGTCTCAGATAACCCACTGGTCCGCGGGGGCACCTGCATACGCTCCGGGATTCCTCGAAACAGTATTCCCGTATGGTTTTCAATTTTCACCAGCTCCTCGCCTCAAGACCTCGTACATCGTTTAAGTTTCCTACATAAAGTGCAACTCTTCTTTTCTAGCACTATGCAGAATCGCTACTTGCCCTCTGCAGCTGAAGCCGCTCGTTCACTAGAACTGCTTGTTCGTCGCTGAGCTATTCCAGATAAAAGATGGAGGCTATTCTTCGTTCGTTAGACTTGCTCTCTAAACACCATTTGGGACACTGAAGAGGTTCCTTCAGACTGGCGACTATTAACAATCATGCCCATGTTCAGAAAGAGTCAACGGACTTTGTACGAAAATCATCGAGACATTAGCTTTGTTTTCATCACCTCCAAACTTCTCACGGCTATCATAATTTGAAGAATTGCTGGTCCTCGTGAGTGCTGCCTTCCGCTCTGGTCATGGTTGCATCGACCACTTATTTGCTCTTCGTGAAGTGTTAGACCAGGGACACAGACGACGGTGGTTTTCCTTGACCTGGAAGCCGTGTTCGACTCTGTTAATCGTACCAGCTTGTGGCACTTCCTATCAATGAAGGTTGTGCCAGCTTAACTTTTTTTCCCTTCTGAAATCCCTCTATATTACATGCTGTTTCGCCACACTGGCACACAGACCGTTGGAACTTGGAAGTGCGGGTGAAACCCATCGGGGCATTAACCCGCATGGAAGCAGGTCCCACCGGGACAGTTCCATGGGTGACCGTGTTATTTTACTTGAACTTTTGGCCAAATCTGCATTTGTTATTGTTCCCTGTTTCTTGCTCTCTCTAATACTATCAAACTGCCATTCACTTCAGAAACCCATTTGGGACCCGTTGTACAAAACATGAACAATCTACTATTTTATGCGATCCCGATGTACAAATTGCTCAGTCCACTCACTTGGGTTGTGCCTCGCACAGTCTAGGAGTAAAATCTTTACTGTTCACTGTATAGTTACCCCGAAACCTAGTCATGTTCTGAAGGAAGCCGTCTTTGGAGACCCCCAGGGCAGGTGGGGTTCACCAGGATTGTCCTTCAACTTTTCTTCAACTTTGTGATCGAAATGCTCGTAAGTGACTTGGTTCTTGCAGATTCCACCGGGTTGTATGTTATGCCAGGTGACCGACTGACAAATCTTGAATATACGGGTGCACTAACTACGTAAACACTACCAAACAAAATAATGGAGCCCATTCAACCATTTCGTCATGGCAGAGAGAAGCCAGGTTGCGATATGTCAACATCCCGATTGTTCTCTTCAGTCACAAACACAATACGACAGAAACACACAAATGCGTATGTACATGGAAGAATAAGCAACACCAATCAAAATGTCACAGTGAAGACCAAAGCAACCGAATTGGTTGCCTCAAGGGTTTCTGTGCACAAAGCACAGGATGATGGGCCTTAATTAACAACGCCACACTAATTGCCAACATTATCGGGTTTTGGTTACGTAATAACACTGATCGCTGTCTCAGAATTCACGTGGTGATGGGTTACCATGAGATGCTTGTTGATAGGCGATGCTGGGCTCCGGTTAATTCTCAGATTCGCCATTTTGTTGCATAACCACTTGTTCCAACCACTTTGGCAAATGTTCAGCTACCCTCTGAGCTAACATACGGTTTGTTCTGCCCATGTAAATATCACCGCAACCGCAGGTGAAATGATAAACTACATGAGACGCCGAACTACCCGATGAGATGCTCTGGCGGTTAGGAAGAGCGAATCCTCGCGTGGTATATCTGTCGCAACTGGGCTGTCGTGTAGGTTCGCGTTAGGCTGGACCGGAGCTTGCGTCCGATATCATTTGCCACATGGTCCGCCTTGAACGGCAAGAACAAATAAACATCCTTTTCCTCAGCTGTCAGCACCGGTATTTTCAAACTGGGAGGTCTGTTATGTACTAGTCTGTGTCTGTGTGTACTTGGATAAACTTCCCACGATGCCCATTATAAAGTAAGGTCTTGCGTAGAATTTCTTCTTCGGCTTTTAACGTTTCTGGGCTGCAGACATCCAGCCCGGTGGAAGAGAGTTTTCACTCAGCCGCATTTGTATGTGGTCGGGGCGAAGTTTGAAAAGTAACAGTACTGTCCACTCCAAATCGATTTGCGGTGATCAATGCGCCGGAATGTACCTTCAGCCCGTCTCCTAATGAGCGTATCCAAAACGCCAGGAAACTGTGTTGTTCCACTTCATGGAATGCCAACAGATTAGAGTGAATCGAATTCAGGATGGTCAGCAGCCGGTTAAAATTTTCTCCACTAGAATATCATCGACATACCGTCTGTACACTTTCGCTTCACCAATGCTGGCAGCAACTTGCCTTTCTATCAAGCCGAGGAAGATGTCGACCAGAACTCTTCCCAGAGGGCTGCCCATAGCGACCCCGTCGACCTGTTTGCAGGCGGTCCCCTCAAACTCAAACCTTATGTTCTCGATGCACAGTAGAATCATATCCTTTAGATACCACATATTCTGGCTCATGAAAAGTTCACATAAATTATCGTTCGTCTCACGTAGAGGCACGTCTGTAGATAAAGCACATCTATTGAGCACATGAGCTCTGCACTAAGGGACAATGGTCCCGGCGTCTCGGCCAGTTCAAATGAGTATTTCAGACAATACATGGCGAGGAGTTTACGTACAGGATGTAATAGTTTCGCGCGCCACCGCGCGACGTTGTGATAAGGTGAATTGTTCGTGCGCATACTCGGACGTGGCAGGTATCCTGCTTTGTATAACTTGGGAACGCCTCTCTGTGTCCCAGTCGGTTTTAAGTGCCTGTACTGCGACTCATTGATGTAACCATGTTGCAAGAGGATCTGGAGCTTCCTTGCCCCATGCTTCTCCACCAGGATGTTGTTTTCCGGTGTATTGTCTAGCTCGAACTTCCGCCTGTTTCCCAGAATGGACTCCATCTTCGAAATTTAGTAAATCCTGTTAATTCCTCCAATGCCCGATGCTTTATCCGGCTGCAGGAACATTATGTGCTCCATTTGTTTCAACTCCCTGATCGCCGTATAGTGTTCAGACTGCAGACAGCACCTCTGACTTATCGGTGTACACAGGAATTGGTTCGCAATATCTACCAATTTTGCCCGGAACCAAGCCACATCTTCCGTCCATCTTGGTGAGCGCTCACTGAGTTGTTCATTCAGATACGCGAAATGGGCCTGCTTGGTGAGATTGTCTAGCGCTTTTGGTGGCAGTCGGTATTTCATTCCAAGCGAGAGATCTTCCAATTTCGTGCGCGTGAACTAAGCAGAGGACAATTTGTATGCGTGCTTCAAGCGATCTGTAGGAAAGGAAGCATTTGTGGCTTTAGCAAGAGAACCCTGAAGACTGCGCACTGTTTTTTCTCTCGTGCGATGGAGAACCTCAGCGGAAAAAAACCTCAAATTTCAGTCTATGAAGATGCTGATTTCTCTTGGTCATTACGGAAGCTGCACTCGCATTAGATTGACGTTGCTCCCGCCTGCTTCAGACTTGTCTTTGACGCAAGTCTATCAAATGGCTATCGGTTACCGTCCGACATGCGGCGTCCAAAACTGTCGCTGGCTTTGGAGCTCTAACGTGGACTCCGATCATACACTTATGTGTGATGATCTTGTTTGTTTCCGGACGCATATGCCGTCGCTGTGTGCACATTTACACTTGCCAACTGATAAAGCGGGAATTATACCGAAGTACGCATGCCAGCTAAATAATTGGTCACTGAACACTTTTGATATTCACTGGACGCCAGTTCACCTAACATTATTAGCTGCAGATGTGCCTTCGTTTGGAAAATCCGCCTACCAACATGTGCGCTGATCTCCACGCAGCCAGCAGCTTTTGGATCCGGCTGGGAACGTACACGACGAGACTCGCCAAGACCTCAGGGCGAAACCGCGTGCTGCCTTGAAAAGAGATCGTGGAACCTTCTTACTGTTTGTTTAGCAAAAATGTCACTCATCTGACCCGCACTCTGTACACAACGTCATTGGACCAGTTCCTCATCAACATACTCCACTCCAATCTTCTCTGTAATTCTTATCTCGTCTCGCACTCTGCGAGGATAGACTTCATTCAATCTTTGGGCCATGTTGGCCTACCCTACTGACTACATCTGTATTACTCCTGCTCTTGCTCCTGCTTATTTTCTTATCATGTACAACATTGCAGTATTCTGATCGCGCCCAAAAGGCGTGCCTCGCTTTGTCGAGAATAAAGTATTTAGTTATTTATTTAGATGACCACCTGAAGTTTTTCCACCTTATACGGGTTGTGAGTATCAGGAAACCTTGCACGAAGCTATATGCAACAAGAGTGAACAGGCAATCTGTAGATTGGCTTGGCTCTACGTCTATTCAATGGACTATTGATACCACTAATAATAATTATCTACTACTAGATTAGCTTGAAGCTTTGTGTCAAACACTGAAAATTGACAAGGATTGCCAGCTACGCTACGAGCCAGTGTTCAACTCTATACTAGACCCTCCCATGGATTTGTCTTCATGCGCAGAAGTCGAACGTGAGATAGGACTCCCGAAGTTAAATGTGGCCGCGGGACCAGATGTACTTTCTCCTGCGCTCTTAAAATTCGGGAAGCCTGCCCATGCAGATGATTTGCAAAATTCACTGGTGAAGCTGTGAGAGCAGAAGACTGTCCATACCGAAGGCAACTACTCCGTAATAGTTCCGATTTTCAAAGGAGGCTCACGTTCGGAATGAAGCATTTATAGTGGTGTCAGTGTGATCTCAATTACCTCTCCGTCACTTGCCGTTCTCCATAGAATGCTTGGTACCCGTGAGAGCCAGATTCGCGAAGTGCAGGTCGGGTTTCGTTAAAATCGCGGCTATATTGTCTAGGTCTTCACCTTACACATTTCTTGCAGCGCTTGCTATCCCTACTGGTCACAAGCTGTAGTTGTGTTCATCGACATCAGAAATGCTTGCGATTCTGTGGTTTGATATACTTTTCAGGGTCCTCTGCTAATGTTAGGTGCGCCAGCAAAATACGTAAGCAGAGCGCTTTAAGCACGTAGCTCGGGCAGATAGGTGGTTTATGGTAACCTACCGCTGCCTGTCAATATCTGTGCTATCAGACAAAGTTGCCCGCTGTCACCTTTTCTTTTTAACCGCTCCTGGCGAAGCCATGGAAACTGCGTTCATTCAAGACGACTTGCGACTTCCAGGTGATCGACTTCTTGAATTGGAATATGTTGATGATGTTGATGTTGTTCTGATCTCTAACATGCCAAGCAGCATTGGACAGATTAGCACTGGCTGTCAGCCGTTTCGGGCTGTAATTTAC